GACTCAACGGAATCACATGGTATGCACACAGAACACAGAACACCTAGGACTGTATCTAGGACATTCTAAAGACACTGTTCTTTCCTTTAATCCTTTTAACAACCACTTCAAGAAAACTTGGGACAAGCCATCAGGAGAAGTCACTTGTCCAGAGTCTTAGGCGGTTATTCAGCGCTCACATCCTTTGGGTTGGCCAGGACTCCAGAATTCTGTCTGGAAAGGAATGTGACCCCCCCCCGCCCCCTCCCCATTTTACAGGCAGCAATCTAAAGCAAATGCCATAGATTAAGTGCTCAATAAATGAGAGCAATTCCAACTGTCAGGTCAGGGGCAGATCTGAGCCCCGCCCCCCTGTACACTGCCCAGGGGAGTTCTGAACAAGGCTGCGTCTTCACTATCTGTTTTCACCTTTGTTCACACATGGGGCACAGTGACACAAGGATCTTTCATCAATGAAACTTTATTTTATTGACATTTAAACTGGAGCTTCGTGTGTAATTTTTTTTTAAAGTTTATTTATTTATGCATACAGAACTGGGGTACAGGCCAGCGGCTCAGGGGCGGTGAGAGGCTTCACCAGAGACAGAGTGGGGAGCAGAACAGGCAGATCGAAGAAGTACACTGCTGAGGGGAGCAGCGGGCGGGCCAGGAGAGGTCTGCCACACCATGCGGTCTCCTCCGGGGCAGGCGGGAATCGAACTCATGCGGAAGCGGCTTTAGATTCTGAGTGCTATGGTTTAACACGCTGCGCCACCAGGGAGGGCCAGGTGTGTAATTTTTTTAATCACAAAAAGCAATGCAAGATAAACCCTGTCAGGTTGGCATGCACAGAGAAGTACCATTCACATTTGGGTATTTTTTCTTTTAATATTCTTATATAGGTCAGTGGATCTTAAGTGTTGGATGATCATTAAGTTGTAGTGAACCTGAGAGTGCTGAACCCTAAGTGCCAGATCACCAGGGAGCGACCTGAATGCTCTTGACAGGGCCCTCTGTCTGCAGCATCATCAGGCCGGGCACAGACCACAGCAACCACAGCGTGGTGCCGGCATCATAGGGGCCAGAGCAGGCCAGGAGCTTCCTGAGTTCAGAGGGCCTAAGCTCTACTTGTCCTCGTGGAGAAGCCACGTGCTCTTTTGGAACAGAAGCTCAAGAGCAAGTGCCATCCTGGAAAGGAGGAGGGAGGCTGATCATAATGTCTGGAGAAAGGACATTTGTTTTCCAGAAGTTCTCTGCACAAGAAAACGTAGGTATTTTTATTTATTTTTTTATTTTATAACAGTTTATTTTTACACCATTTTGTACATTTTTTTTCCATCTCAATTGTAAGTTTCAATTCTGGGCTTCACTTTCCTACTTGTAGAATGATAATAGTACTTACCTCACAGGGTTGTTTCAAGGATTAAATAAGATTAAACACTGAGCCCAGTGCCTGGCACGTAGGAAGGACTCATAAACGCTAACAGTGCTGACAGCTCCGTGATGACTTCCGC